CAGTGCCCCGGCCCCAAGGCCTTGGCAACTTGCGTGCTCCAGCAGCAGGTCACGGGAGCACCTTGTCCCATAGTAACTGTACCTCCTTTTCCTGTTTGAAGTGATAAACGAGCTGGACGGCCTGGCCAAGGGCCCGGAGATGGAGCACCGGGCCGCAGGCTATGCCCGCCAAGTGCAGGAGAGAGCCAGGAAGTCCATCGAGTTCCTGGAGGAGCGATTCGAGAGCCGGGACAACTGCCTGAGGGCTCTGACCAGCCGAGGCAACGAGCTGGAGTCCATCTCCTTCCGCAGCGAAGACACCACAGGCCAGCAGGTGAGGGCTGCGGGATGCAGAGGCGGTGATGCCAAGGGTGGAGGCTCGTCACCATTGCCTTTTCTGGGGGAAACCAGGGACCCTGGGGGAGCAGTAGCTCTGTCCCCACCTTCGCAGGTGGCTGAGCAGGCTCCTGCAGTCTGCACGTGTTTCATCTCAGAGCAGCCCCACTTTCTGCTGAGCTGAAGGGCAGGGCAGAAGCAGGGTGATGGGGGTTGCAGGTTTTTTTTCCGCTGTCAAGGTTAACGCTGCCCTTTTCTTGCAGGGCAACAACGATGACCTGATTCTGTCCTGCTGCCTCCACTACTGCAATGACAAGGCCAAGGACTTCATGCCCTCCAACAAAGGTACAACATCCTCACATCCTCCTCATCCTTCCTCTGCTGCATCCCACAGCCCCTTCTCCTTTCTCTTTCACAGCCCTTGGAGCCGACCCCTCCCACATTTTGCCTCTTTCAACACCAAGGTGCCACCTCCCTCCTCTGCTCACCCCCAGGCCATGGCCCTCTCACCACGTTGCCAAATGCGCTGGGGACACCCCAGCCTGTGAGGAGCCCACCCTGAACACCCACGGGGCAATTTTGTGGTGGCAGCAGCAGTGACGAAGGACCAGGATGAGCCTCCAAGCCCCTGTGCCTCCTGGCAAGGGTCCTTTTCCCCTCTCGATGCCCAGCTGGCACCAGCCACGTGTGCTGGGAGCAGACAGCCCCCGGGCCGTCGCCAGGGCAGCGGGGATGGGAATCGCATCAGCAGCTGCCCAAGAAATCAACCCGCATTTGTCAGTGCGAATTCTTAGCAGCTTAACTTGTCAGATTCACAGAGAAACCGTCACCAAATGTTTATGTGCAAATGATGCTGAATTTTGAAATCATGCGGATTATGGGGAATGGGGCCTGACAAGCTGACAGCCTCTGGTTTGTAACAAGGAGGCGCGTCACCAGCGCGGAGCAGAGGATGTTTATTGTTACACATTTCTTAAAGTGTCCGCACAAAACCTCCCGCTCCCGCTTTTCGGCAGCCTTCAGCTCTGGGCCTGCCCTCTCGCCGAGCCCCTGCTCCCCTTCCTCCTGACATGGGGCAACAGGGGCACTCGCCCCACCACCCTCAGCCCCAGCACCTCAGCTGCAGCCGCGTTCCTGGCCACCTTCCCCTTCCCCTCATCCTGCCGCTCCCCGCACAGCCAATGTGGGCCCATGTTGGGCTCCCATAAACTCTGTTTTTTCCATTCCCGTCCTGGCTCGCAGGCACTGTGTTTCCTGTGCTCATAGGAACAGCGCTCTGGTCACAGGACCCAGCTGCTTACACATACCCCATATGCTTCCCCTGCTTCGCACACACGTAAGCGTGGCTCCCACATCCCAGCCCGGCGCGTTGCGTGCGGGGCAGCTCATCCATCTGGGGGCAAGATCCCTTCGGTTATTTCTCAGGCTTCAGCTTTCTCTCTCTCTCTCTCGCTGGCTGTCTGAGCCCCAGCCAGAAACGCCTCGGTGTCAGTGGCAACTCCAAAAAAATAAAAAAAAATAATAATAATAATAATAAGGGTTGGTTTTTAGATCTTATAATGAGATCACCAGAATAATAGCACCAGCTTCCTGCAGGAGCCAGGGTCGCGGGCCGTCTTCCTGGCCTGGGTCTCAGCCTGGGACCTCCTCTTCCCTGCCTGCGGCACGGCACCGCCCGGCACGGGCAGTGGGCAGCACCGCACCACGGGACCCCAGCCCTGCCCGGGCCCGGGGCTGCAGCAGGGAGCACAAATCACCCCCGGCCAACACGGGGGGGCCTTGGAGATGAAGTGTGGGGAGCTGGGATGCTGGGTGGCCCTGCTGTGCCCGGAGCGCAGCACCCCAGGAGGACAGAGGGGCATGGGAGGGATGCAAGGGCAGGGCATTGGGGGGTCTGAGCTTCACGTTCACTCGCGCTCTCTCGTTGCAGATGATCCCATCCGTTTGCTCAGGGAAGTGGTTTTGCTGACGGACGACCGGAACCTGCGAGTCAAAGCGTTGACCCGCAACGTGCCGGTGCGGGACATCCCCACCTTCCTCAAGTGGGCCCAGGAGGGCTGATGGGGGCCGAGCAACGGCCCCGGAGCGAGTCACGCAGCCCGTTAACGGTGGGAGATCGGCTTCAGCGGCGGCCCTCGCCGCGCCACCACCACCTTCCAGCCCTCCACGAACAATAAACGCCACCGCTTCACCCACCCCAGAATGGCCGTGCTGCCGAGGGTCCCCCCCACCCTGAGGGTGGCCCAGCTGGGAAGGTCATTGCCGTGGATGGTTCACGTGGAGGTTGGGCCTTCGAGGGTCCCACCGGCTTTTGTTTTTGGAGCCGGCAAGCCCTGCTGGCGAGGGAAGCTTTGGGTGAGCCCGTGCCGGATCACCAGCCTTTTGTTTGGTTTGCTTGGTTGCAGAGAGCTCGAGCCCCACAGTCGGGGGCTCTTTGGGTTTGGAGGCTGCGGAGGGCAGAGACCGGGGAGGCGCCAGCGCAGGTTTTGGGATCGCTTGGGCTAACCTGTGCCCCTTGGTTAGGCCGTGGACTTCAAGGGCAGGTCCACTCTGCCCCAGCCTGTTTGTCCTGCATGGCCCAGGCAGCCCCAGGCCTCCGGCCCCTTCCCAATCCCGCACCCGCCCTTCCTTTCGAATGCAGGGGGTGCTGCTTGCGGAGGCGCTCGTCCTCGCCCTGGTGCAGGTGTGCTTGTTGAGTTTTATTTCGTATTGCGGTGTAGGTTAGTTTTCAGGTGTGTGCCCTGCCTGCTTTGCTGGGGGTGGGGGGAGGCTTTGAACACCCCCAATTCCTCCCACAGACGCTTTCTGTTCTGCTCCCTCACCCCTTACCTGTCCCTTCCCTCCTCCCCCAAAACCCCTCAGTCCTACCCCGCTCCCTTTAGGCACGTTTTTAACCTAAAACTCAGTGCTAACAAAACCCTGTAAGCCCCTAAGGTCCCCGGGAGCATTGTCCCACAGGTCCCATGTGTGTCCCCCCCATCGCCGTGGGCTCTTCTTGCGTGGGCTTCAGCTGCTGCCCACGGCTGCAGGGCTGAGGAGAGCCAAGGTAGTGCCCAGCCAGGAGGGTCCCCTCCCAAATTGTCCCTTCGCCATGAAAGGACCCCACTGAGTCACGCCACACCAGTGCTGAGTCCCCTCCACACCACATCCCCCTCTCCTCCATCCCAGTTACGCGCCAGACACAGAAGCTTAAGAGGGAGCATTGACCCTCGAACCGGAGCCCCTGGAGCTCCATCAAGCCCCAGTCCCACGAGCAGAGGCTGGGAGTGACCCCAGGGCCGTCCCCAGGCCTCGCTAGGGCGCCGCGGCCGTGGGAGGGAAGCGTCAAAGGTGGCGAAGGAAGCGGTGGGATGGAGGCCGGCGTTTTCCTGTCCTGCGTGGGTGGCAGGGCCCGGTGTCCGCGTCGGGAA